AGCCCTAACTCTGTGTGTGTGTGGAGGTGTGCTTTTCCTGGAGTTTCTAATTGCCTTTCATTTTTTATTATTGAGAGAAAAGGCACATGACTGACTTCTCTTTTACCTTCTTACTCATTGTATCTGTTCCTTAGAACCTATTCTGTGCCTCTTTGTAAAGATGTTCCTATAAGACTCCTCACTAAGGTTCTTAGTTAGACTATTTTCCAAGTCTACAGCACAGTTTTAATCCTGGGATTTCTTTTTCTTTTTTTCCCCCCTTCATTAGACAGTTGCATTACGTTGATCATTGTTTCTTTTCTTGATTTTCATCTTTAATTTGCTGGAGTACATTCTTAAATTTATCAGAAAGGGGGCATAGTAAATAAACTTTTTGAATTTTTATATAACAAAAAATTATAATTTCTGGCCTATGATTTCTTTCATTAGTTATTCACATGACTAAATTGCTTTTTTCAGATCTTAGTTCACATACCCTCTTCTCAAAGTGGCCTTCCCTGGCCATCTTATTTTAAATTGCAAATCCCCTGTTTTACCAGTCCTTCTTCACTGCTTTTTTTTTCCGTAGCACTTTTTCACATTCTCACATACTGTATATTTTACTTATGTATTATCCTTATTTCCCTGCTAAAAAGTGTCATGGAACAGAGATTTTTATAGTTTTGTTCACTACTAACTATATCCTTGGTACGTAAAATCATGCCTGGCACATACTGGCCATTTAGTAAATAAGTATTGAGTGAGTTAGCGTATTTTCCCCTCCCTATTTAGTTACAAATCTAGTTTACAAATAATCTCTCAGAACTTCCAAGGGATTGCTCTGTCGTCTTCTGGTATCTAGTGTTTTTAATGTGAAATGTAATGTCAGTCTGATTCGTTTTCCTTTTATGGGTGACCTATTCTCTTTTTGAAAGCTTTGATTGTCTTGGATTTCTGGAAATTCTTAACAATGTACAAAGAAGTGGGGTTTTTTCACTGATTCTAGTAGGAACTTAGGACGCCCTTTCAATTAAGATTGTTTTTTTTTCCAGCTCTGGGAAGTTTTATTTTATTGATTGATTGATTGATTGATTTTTGAGAGAGGAACGGGAAGAGAGAGAAGCATCGATGTAAAAGAGAAACATCGATCGGTTGCCTCCTGCATGTGCCCGATGGGGGACTGAACCCACAACCTGGGTGTGTGCCCTGGTTGGGAATTGAACCCGCCACCTTTTGGTGTACAGGACAACCTTCCAACCAACTGAGCCACACCGGCCAGGACTGGGAAATTTTACTTTTTAAAAAAATCTTCCTTTGCTTTTTTTCTGTACTATCTACAACTCTTATTGGTTATCAGATTTATATTCTTTTCCCTTGAGGTTTCATTTTCTTTATTTTTCTCTCTTTAATTTCACATCTCTTTAATGTAAATTTTTATATGCTTGTTAATATTTAAACAGTGAAATCTGGCATACTGTTTTCTTTGACTTAAATGAAATACCAAATAGTAGGCTAAAATAGGATCAATTGATTTAATGTTTGTGTCTGTGTATTACCACCAATAATGAATGACAGGTGGTTTATCACTGCGGGAAAAGGAAGTATTCATCAGTGAGTGGCCCCTGGCCTCCTGGAAAAGGCTTAGCCTGATTTCTCGTCAGGCATGCTGTATTTTAATATCATGTAAGAAAATGCTACACGCTTACAGAGTTTATGAGTAGGATGTTCATCACGGAACTTAGAACATGGGGGTTGCCCAAGTGTCTCATAGGATACTTTAATAAGCTGTTGTAGTGATACTATAAAATGCTGTGTAGCCACTAAAAGCTATATTTCCAAAGAATGTTTAATGACATTGGAAGTGATGCATTATCTTATTTATTTATAAGTATATATTTTTATATATTAATATAAATTTTTACATATACATGTTTAAAGAGAAAAATGAATGGAAAATATGCAATACAGGTCCATAATCACCTCTACAAAACCCTTGGGCCCATGTGTATTTTTGAATTCCACATTTTTTCAGGTTTTGAAGTAGTAATATATGTATTTACATAATAGCATCTAGAGAAGTACTCTGTAATCAAACACATTACTATTTCTGCAGGGAAACATGTACTATTCACATTCATTTAGTAGGATACATAAAATCTGTAGCTTCATGTCATTTGAGGTCACATTTTGCTGCTGAATGAGTTTGTGCCAGACAATTAAAAAAAATTTTTTTAAGTGTTTTGGATTTCAGAATTATTTGTATTTTGGATCAGTAGTAATTAATTTGAACAATGAGATTTTGAATGAATTTTAAGATTTTCATTATAATTTTTCTATAGTTCTATATTGATGGGAGCATATATATGTGCTTGTAACAGAAAAAATATTTTAGTAACAAATTTTTAAATTGTGATTGTATATACTTGAGTTAAATTTTCTTATTAAATCTTAGCCTTCCCTAGAGAAAGGAATGAGTCAAATTCACCAGAAGGTATTCATTCATTATTTAGCAAGTATTTATTCAGTAATTGTAGACCATTAGATAGACATGAGTAGAGTAGGAAGATACAAAAGGGTACAAAAGGTCACCAAGTTGGAAAATCTCCTGTGCCTAGCAACCAGGAAAACTAGGACCTTCCCCCTAGGTTGACCTTTCTTACCTTAGCATATCACTGGTCATGCAGTTTAGACCCCCTGATCTTTCATATCCCTAATCATGCAGTTTGGGACCTCCCCTAGTCCTTCCCCTCCTAGTGTATCACTAGTCACGTCCCTTAGAGGAGGAACAAGGGGGCTGGAGAATAGCCTCATATGACTCCCATACAAGACTTTGCAAGGCTACATCCCTTAAGCATTAAGTCCTCAAAGACAGTGAGGTTCTGACCTGCATCACATAATCTTAGGAACAAAGCCTCAGGTCTGTTGACCACAGACAGGAGGTTTGGTCAAACTAGAGGTGACATCTAGACCTCAGTTGTGTTTCAGCTCTAGGCCCAGAGAAGCAGCAAGGCCAGGACAGGGTGACCAGCTGTGATGACTAATGACCCTCTGGCTCTGCTCTGGTACCAAACAGTCAGTAGAGACCCTAAAAGGACACACGTGGGAAAGATCCCTGCCTTCAGAGAGAGGGTAAAATAAAATCCCTCAGGACAGAGGACTGAGTGCATGCTCTCGCTCCCTCTCTCCAGCCGCCCGCCTTCTTCCTTTAGGTGTACCTTTGCTTTCTTTCTCCTAAGCTCCAAGGGCCCTTCTTCTGTTCTTTAACTCTTTTCCTGAGCCCATGCAGCCCAGCTGGCTCACTTCTTCCACAGCTTACTTCTACCTCTGTGACTTTGTAAATAAACTTTGGCTTTATTTGAGTCTTCTCTCTGAATTCTTTCTTAGCCAAAACTCAAGTACCAAGGCTGCTGAACCAGTCACTGGTAACATTCTGGTGCTGCTTCACCACCAACAGTAATTACTGTTTTAATAAAAATTAATATTTCAAGTTAATATTTCAAATTAATATTTCAAACCATGATTTAATACCATTTCACACTCTTCTTGTCAGAAATTTAATAATTTTTTTTAGTGATCAGAAGACTTTATTTTTAGTGAACACAGCCAAATAGACAGACTGTGGCTGTAGCAGATTTTAGTATAGTATATACTTGATAAGAAATTTAATAATTTTGACAGTTCCAGTTGTTTACCAGAATGCAAGGAAGAAATAAGAAATTTTATACATTGCCGGTTCAGTATCAGTTGATAACACCATTTTGGAAAGCAGTTTTTTAAAAGATTTTTTAACTGATTTTTAGAAAGAGAGGGAGAGGAAGAGAGAGAGAGAGAAACGTCAATTGGCTGCCTCCTTCTTCCCCCCCCCCC